CCGCTCTTAGGTTTCCACTTCCAGTGCTGATGAAGTTTAACTTGTAGCACTGTTTCTGACATAATGCATGCTCATTTTACCTTCCACCGTATTCCTTCCCCTTTTCCCAGGCTAAAATTGAGTTCTTAAGGAAATAATTGCAAAAATGAAAGAAACCAACAGTTGGGTCTTAATAACTAAATCAGTTGGCCTACTACTTTAGCAACTAGAAAAGAAACACACTAGCACACTAATATTGGACCCTTATCAACAAAATCACCTCGCCTACTACATTAGCAATAACAAAAACATAATAAAATTTTGAAGTAATGTTAATAAGAGTGCAAAGATCTCTTACCAAGCCCCAGAGTTGATGCGAAGACGGGGTTAGTAGGAAGCTGAGTGTGAACATAGTAGAGTAGTGAGGCTGATATTCCCCCTGCCAATAAAGACTTCTGGCTGCCACTCTTCAAATAGCCCATAAGACCACCAACTGCCAAAATAATTAAACCTTTATTTTACAACGATTCGTGTGCACACAAATAAACTTCGAAATACAATCCAGGCCAAACAGACATCAATTATAAACAAAAGTATGTCGCTTTTCTAGCTTTCGACTTGCTAATTCCTGAAGAATAAAAAAATAAATAATTAATTAAAAGACCTCAAAGATCAACTCTGTAGCCATTATCAATACAATCTATAGCTGAGGGAGATCACGGAGTTAATTGAAACCAAACAGTCTCTCTTGGAGAGACCATGCCAAAGAAGCATGAAGCATCTTAAATAATATGAAGGCAAGATTCTGATCTATCTACAATCCACTCGATTTATTTCATTTGTCAAACTAAAACTCACCACTCGAATCGAAATATACCAGTTTCCTACACAGAAAAAACTGGGATTCCTGTTTCTTCTCAATAAATTTCCGCCTGTACAACAACTCTACCGCGAAAGCCAATTCATAACTATGAAGAAAACTAATTCCCTGGGGGGACCTAAGATGATCCCACAAGATAACAAGTAAAAAATTGTCGAAAGCCACAATTTTTAGTTGCTTTTGAAGTTTATGGATCAGACACTTATGTTATTAGAAACAAGAGCTAGCTCGTCACAATTTTCAGGAATTTTGTAGATGCTAAGAATCTAACTTTTCTAAATGACGCTTAACTAAATGATCTCAACCACCCAAAAAACCGAAAAAAAAATAATAATAATCATCCAATCAATTGTCAACACAAACAGAAGAAGAGCAAAATATTTCAATTAAGAACCAGAATTTGTTTTTACCTCCAACGAGGGCAGCATATCCGAGAGTCAACTTCTGAGACATCGACAACGCCATCTTCTTCTCGCTCTTCTCGTGCGATTCGCCGTCACCGTCACCCTTATCGCGATTACTATCACCTCCACGGCCTCCGCCTCCACCGCTGTCGCCGCGATCACCGAATCCGTCACCGTCGCCACCGCCGGTGTCCGACTCAACGCCGGTGCCCGACTCAATCTCTACCTCCTTGTTCTCCGAGTCGACGGTGAAAGTGTTGGACGCTTTGGTGTCGGAGACGATCGCAGCGCAGAGAGGATTTCGGTGTACGGAGCGAAGGCGAGAACTGCCAAAGGAAGTCCCGAACAGCTGATATCTGGCTGTACCGACGGGATTCGATGGCGGAGATGGCAGTCCCGGAGAAATGGCTCTCCCGCAAGAGAATCCGATCTTGGGGTGGAGCAGAAGAGAGGACTGTGAAACGCCAAACAATACCTCCGCCATGTGATTTGGGTTTTTGTTTTCGCTTCTCGTCTCTTCTTTGTTTATTTTAACCCCACCAAAATAAATAAATAAATAAATAACTAAAATATAGTAAAATTTAAGTAAGTTTTCTTAGTATTATTAAAAAAAATGAAATACTAATAATTCTTTATTTTCAACATCCAATTTTTATTAAAGTTGCATGTTTTATATATTATATTCAATTTGATGTGATTTTAACCAACTTTAATGATCATAAACTTTACTGAAGAAAAAATAATCAGAAACTAACTCTAATAGTGGAAAGGAAAGTCTTAAAAATTAAAATCATTGTAAAATATTGTAATATAAAACATAAAGTTTATCGTAATAATCATTAGTAAATCTTAAATTCCGCAAATGTAACTTTTTTTCACATATGTATAACATCATTTATTCATACATGTAATATGTTTTATATGTCCATGTAACATTTAATATTACTTGTGTTTGACAGTATTTATTAAATGTTACATAAATAAATTAAGTGTTATACACGTAAGAATAATATTACATGAGTATGTGAAAAACTTACATTTGTTAGGCTGGTTCAGATGCCAGACTTTAAGAGAATTCCAATAATCATTACGTAAATCTATACCATTTTATGATATTGATATAAGCATATCATCAGTGTAATTCTTACATTTTTTTTTTTTTTTTCCCCCTTTCTATGTTTTGTGAAATTCGTTGGGCTTTTGTTTCTTTTCCGCGTTTTTGAGGAAATTTGATACAATAAAACTCAAGCGTAAAATGACCATTTTATCCTCATTTCCTTGTAAAACCAGAAAACGACTTGTTAGTTTCACACTTGAGAGAGATAAAAGGAATTTTTTCTTTGCGCCTGAGTCCCTTAACTTTTTGACCTTTTGCACTTAGTTTCCATTTTTAAATTTAGATAACTGGACCCCAAACTTTCTTTCTTTTTTTTTTTTGACACTTGGGTTCCTATTTTTATTTAGACAATGCTAAAATTTACATAACGAAATATATATTTTAAACTTTAAAAAATTAACAATATAAATATTTAAATATATTAGTCGAGTGAGTGCACATTGCAACATGTTGACTTTAATCAGATTTATAAGTCACTTGATTATTTATTTATTTATTTATTGATTTAATGAATTTAAAAACAAATAAGTATTTTTAGGGCAGAAATAGTGATAAAGTCAGGGTAGTTAGCACAAACGGTCCTGGACACTTGTGCCAATTATGGAGAGATCAAGAGCCGGCATGCTAACTCCTTGGCCATGCCCACCAAGTTGGTTACGTTATCGCCATCTTCAGCTGCTCCATTTGCATCTCCATAATAAACTCATGTAGCAATATTTCAAGCGAAACTGCTAATGCATTTCAGGTTTGCATCGTTGCTGGGAGCGCGGATGCCATCATTTGCATCGGCAACGTGGTCCTCATTCGGCACAACATCTCTCACCCTTGGCTCAACCATAAAATGCTACAGATCTTCAGGTGGAAGGGCTGGTACTGAATGGGAGAAACCCGAAACCGATAAATGGCGATACCAAGGAAACAAGAAGCACAAGATCATTCTTCCTCACAACAGAAATATATAGACATCTACAGCTTCAATTTAGTAAGTAGTAACCAAAATAATTGACACAGAAATGGATTCTGCAGTAAAAAAAACTAGATATGGAATTGACTAGCTAGAGCAAAAGTAAGTGAGAACGAGTATAAATTGAAATACTCAGCTCTTTTTCTCAGTCGAAATGCTTCTTTTCTAACGCAAGCATTATTTATTCTTCGCCTTGCTGCTATCCTTTTTAAGTGTATCGATAACCTCTTGGGCATCATCGCTCAACAGTTTTTACAGATCCGAAGGCCTCCATATCAGATACTTTGTTTCAACATACATGTTAATTAATTATTAGCAGGATAAAATTGTGGTCCACAAATGCTTGTTCATGATGATTGGACGTGAAATTGTCATTTTTGCAAGCAAGAATGATTTTTCCAGCAACTAAACCACCCTCACCAGGAAAAATATAAAAGTCTTAAGAATCATCATCCTTATTGCGCATGATTGAGGCCTTTTGATAACTCTCTTTCTCAATTTCCTTTCCCAGAAAATCCAAAGTCGTGTCTGTGACATGGTTCGGAATGCAGCCTGCGTCCAGCATCATCTTCAAGAATTTATATGCATCCTTCAGTTGACCTGCCTTGGTATGAACTTCAATAAGTGTATTGTAAGTGATAACATCAGGATTAATTCCACTAGCCCTCATCTGATCAAAGAATTTATTTACTTCATCTATCCGACCCGCCTTCCCTAATGCATTAATTAGAGTGTTGTACATAACCAAGTCGAGATAACCACCTTGTTCTATTAGCTTATCGAGAACAGCACTAGCTAGATCTGCCCTTCCCATCTTGCCAAGGCTTTGGATGATCACATTGTATGTTGCTATATCTGCTGGACAAACCTTCTCTCCCATCTCACCGAGGATGTTCCACGCTTCATCGAAGTAGCCCTTCTTGACAAATGAAGTCATCATTGAATTGTAAGTGTAACTTACAGGGTTAACGCCCATATCAGTGAAAATCTCAAACAACTTGCACGCTAAACTTAGCTTTCCCTTGGCCAAAAATATAGACAAGAAAGTATTGACCATATCAATGTCAAAAGAGTCACCCCCTTTTGCTTGAACTCGCCTCCCCCTAGATAGCGAAAAGAGCTGAGAGGAACGGCCATTGGACAGAACTTGATTGGTCAACTGATCCATATATGGAGATGATGACCACTGATCAATATCAGAAGATACACTCTCATCATCTTTAACATCAACATTATCTGGAACAAGTTGCGCCTTCATTGTTGCATTGGCAGACCTTATCAAGCTCATAATCTCACTAAACTCATCTTTAGACGGGAACATGGGTGTGTAATCCTTTCTTTTACTCTGTGGGTTTTTCAATGAAGCTTCCAAATCTATTTTCCATCGTAACACATTCGGCAGTAAATTATTACCGTCTCTAATGTGCTTCATAAGCCTGTCCGTCCAATCCCACCGACCTTGCTTATACAACCCAACCAAGAGTGAAGTGATAGTAACCAGATCAACAACAAAACCTCTGCCTTCCATTTCCTCCACCAATCCTAGAGCTTCCTCAAGCAGACCTTCTCTACAAAGTTGCAGGACAACAATGCTGTAAGTAATACCATCCACAAATTGGCCCTTCTTTTTCAAGTCACAAAACATGGTGTAACCCGCCTCGGCCCTTTCATTCTTGAACAACCCATCAATAAGAGTATTGTAAGTCCAAGATGAGGCTCTCACCCCATCCTGAGTCATTTTCTCAAACAACTCGCAGGCTTCACTAACCTTCCTCGCTTTCAACAGCCCATCAATGAGGGAATTGTAGACAACGGTATCAGCACAATGTCCATTGTACTCCATCTCATTAAATATCTTTTCAGCATTGTCTATCCGATAAGATTTACAACATCCTTGGATTAGAATTCGGTAAGTGAAACGATCAGGCTGGTGACCAGACCCTTTCAATTCCTCATACACAACTAATGCATCTTTCACCTTCCCAAAAAAGCAAAGAACATGGATGAGACTATTATAAGTGCATAAATCTGGACCCACTGAAACTTTCATCTCTCTGTAGAGGCTCAAAGAAGTACCCAAATCACCCCAAAATCCAAACGCGTGAATGCAGATATTGTAGCCCCAAACATTCATCCCAAAACCCTTCTTTTCCCTGATTCCATCAAAAACTTGCTTGAATTCAACTCTCATGTCAGATTTTTTAAGTGCAACGAGCAATTCATTGCAGCCAATTGAGCTAGGAACGTGAGAGCTATCTTCGAGAATCTTAAAGAATATAGACAATGCGAAACTCAACTGATCTTTTCTTACCAAAGCGATTAGAACAGAGTCATACATGTGTGAGTTCAAGGTGACTCCTAGTTCCTCCATGGTGTCTAGGATTTCCAAGGCAAAATCGAACTTACCGGATCGAATGAAGGTGTCGAGTAGCGTCTTGAACGTCCACGAGTCAATGATGACACCGTTTTGCCTCATCGAACCGAGCAGATTCGAGGCCTCGTGGAGGTGACCTTCACGACAGAGAGCGCGGAGGACCTGGGAATAGGAGTGAGCAGAGGGTTTGAGGTCGGAGTTGAGAGAGAACCATGTGAAGAAATCGAGCTTCTTGGAGATGTGAAGGGAATTGTTGCGGAGGATTTGGAGGAGGATGGGCTCGGAAAGAGGGATGGAGCGAGGGTCGGGGAGGTAGCGAGTACTAGATTCTGATAAGGTTTTGGTGAGGGAGGCAACCAAAAGGACGTCTGCGAGTTGGGAATGGTGGCTTCTTTGTGGTTTGATGAGGAAGGTCCTTCCATGGAGGTGCATGACTGGGGGTTGAAAGAGCTTCACATTTCAAACGAGAATTTCCCTTTCAATATTGGATTCTTTCAATTTCCCTAGCAGCGCATTAGACAAGCCTGAAAAAACAGAGGATGATGAAATGAAAAATTAAGATAATCCCAATTCGCTTAGTAATGAAAACTGAACAGCAGCAACAGACTCATTTACTTCCTGGACATCAAAATCCAGTGTCTTATTAGCATATCAAATGTTGAGATTTATGCTTTAGTAGAAAACATGACGTGATTGACTCCCACAATATATCCCAACATTCAAAATCATCAATAAAAAGAAGAGAACTCGGGAAAATTCTGTCATTGGAAAATTCATCACAATCCAAAAAGTGAAACCCCCTCTTACCTTACCACTTTACTTTGTTCCCACTTTCTAGGAATAAAAGTGAGTTGGAAGTAATATCAAGAAAGAAACATACCCCCAATCCTTATAACAAAATCACTAGGCCTAATACTCTAGCAACTGCAAAAGCATACGAAATTGTGGGGTGATGTTAATAGAGTGCAAAGATCTCTTACCACGCCGAAGAGTTGATGCAAACACAGGGTTAGTAGGAATCTGGGTGTAAATAAAGTAGAGTAGTGAGGCTGATAATTCCGCTGCCAATAACAACTTCTGGCCGCCACTGTTCAAATAGCCCATAAAACCACCAGTTGCCGGAATAATCAACCGTTACAATGGCTTGAATGCACATAAATAAACTTCCAATACAACCTAAGTCAAACAGGCATCAGATAAACAAATATATGGAACTTTTTATTATTATTTCTTTTATAATCTTTCTATTAGCTGATTACTGAACAAAAAATAAAAATAAAAATAAAAATAAAAAAGAACAATCCTCAAAACTCTTCCAAAATCAACATTTTTTTAAAATAATTTTTCCCCTAATCCGTGAGCTAAAATATGAAGCCTGAACCATAAGTAGCCATACTAAATGCAATCTATAGGTGAGGGAACTCAGTAAGTTAATTGAAACCCAACTAAAATGAGGCTTCTAAAAGAAGAACTTTTGAATAGACTTTAAAAGCATTATAATCTTCATTCTAACACTTTTATTACTTATTAGAAAATTTTAAAAATTGTTTTGATCAAATGCTGAAAAGCCACAGCTTTTACTTCTCTTCTAACAAAAGCAAAAGCTCTGCCGAACGGATCCTATGACTTTCACAGAGATATTGTCAAAGAAGTACGTAGTACAACATTTTTAACAAGTAAAAAGTGGTCGAAAGCCACAATTTTTAGTTGTTTTTTGAAGTTTATGGATCAGATACTAATGTGATTAAAAACAAGAGCAGGCTCAACAATTTTCAGGTAATTATTTGGGTGACTATAACCCAACTTTTTTCTAAAAGCCAGAACAAGAACAAGCACGAAGATTTCTCTTAATTAACACGACCAATAACTGCCCCCACAAGAATTGCAACAGTTGCGGATAACAATCACATTATGACAAAACACTATATAAAAAAAAAAAAAAACAAAAACAAAACCAATCTCGTAACCTAGGGTTTGTAATACCGAATCGATGCACATAAAATTGGTACTATAAATGAATCAAAAATTGTTTGGAAATGAATTAAAGGCCAAGAAGCAGTGAAGAGAATACCTCTTTATAGTGGTGGAGGCAGCACAATAAGTCCTCACGGAGGAGAGAACAGTGCTTGGGCTCGCCGGCGACAATGGGGGGAAGACAACTTGCAGAGTGCCAGTGTAAAAAAGTTTTTTTTTTTCTTGTTTTTTTTTTTTTGGGTTATTTTCATTAATAACGCCATTTACCTCTTATCTTTTAATGCCAAAGTATACAGTTTTAACCCCTTTCATCAAAAAAAGTAAAAAAAAAAAAAAAAAGTTTTAACCCATTACCCCAATAAACTTTCTTATTAAACAAAGTATAGTTGGATTACAGACGCCATTCTTTTCACCTGTTCAAATTAGTTTTTTTTACAGTATTGTTTTCACAAAATTTTAAAATTTTCTTTTATTATAGTTTTTTTTCTTTCACATGAATTTACTTTTTAACTTAAATTATCAATTTAAACGAACAAAACAAATGATACCACTTCAACTACTAATCTTTCGTAGCAAGTGAACCATTGGTATCATAGAAAGATCAGGATGGGAGGGCATTTACAATGCTTTTACGTAGTTTTTTATTTCCAGCAAAAAATATTGTACCCAAAAAAATTTAAAAAAAAGGTGGCATATCATTTTCAACCACAGTTTCAATCCATTGCATGCCCAAAAGTGAAATGGTGGCTTTCAACCTTATACTATACTCTTTTTTTATGAGAGATGACCTTACTTATACTTTTAAGAAAATACAATGACTGCTTTTAAAAAATATAGAAGATAAATTGACACAAGGTCTATAATTTGGTGAGCATTTTTTACATAAATCCTTTTTGTTTGAACCTTCAAATTGCAAATAAGGAATGTTATCTTCAATCAAGAAGCATAGTTATGCATCGCCCTCTGCCGCTCATTTAGATGTTCTTGTAAATTTTAACACGTCAAAATTCTAACACATTCTAAAACATAACATGACTATGAGGACGATTTTACTTTGTATTATTCATCTAAATTCCAAATATTCTTAAGATTTTACTGCCCCCAACAACGTCGTTTGCCGTTGCCGCTGTCGTGGTGAGATCTGCAATGCCACAGGAAGATCTCGTTGTGAGATCAACTGTTTTCTGTAGTCTTTAGTATAGTTTACTTTTGAGGGTATGATCTTTTCAATCTTACTTTTCCACAAATATATCATTTTAGTTGTCGTTACTTGCATACAAATAAACTGCACGTTGCTTCCTCAAATGTCGTTTTTTATTTTCCCTATTTCATACGTGGTTGAAAACTTGAAAACGACGACCTTTAACGTTAAAGGTGTAGTCACAATTTTGTGGCAGTCATTTTCCGGGAAAGCCACCACTAAAATTCCCTAGGCGTAGTCACGCCGTGATGCTAATATTGATTATTGAACTACAGTTCTTTGTCAGCGTAATTTATCTACTAACAAAGAGTTCACACAAGTTATCTCACATATTCATGTCTGGTTCATTTTACCGATTCGAATTTTCAGTTTTAAGTTTCTACAGTAAAAAACTCTCAGAAAATATCACATCTAACTTTTTTTTGCTACAGTGAAAAGCTCTCAGAAAATGTCACATCTCAATTCAAATTAAAAATTCGAATCCGTGAAGTGAACGAGGCCTCAGTGATCGAATTAAAGGAAAGGTCTATTCTAAACTTGTCTTCTGTAAAGTTACAAGCAACGGTTTGTTATTTGCCAAAACCAATCCAATTACATTATTACGAGAATAATTCGATGAATTAGACCTAGAAGGCATACGTTCAATCTCCTCAGCCATGGCTTCTAATTCAACCCTACTAGCTGAAACAAAATTGGCACGTAGCAAGCATGGCCCCAACATTCCTACAAGGCTTTCGAAGCAACTTCACCTCACTGTCGTTCATCTCCTTGCCCATGCCCGTCAAGCTGGTTATCCCCATCTTCAGCTGCTCCATTTGCATCCCCATAATGGACCCATGGTAGCAATGATTCAAGCAGGACAGCTATTGCATTTCGGTTTGCAATGTTGCGAGGAGCGGGGATGCCGTTGTTTGCATTGGCAACCAGGCCCTCATTGGGCACAACGTCCCTCATCCTTGGGTCAACCATAAAATGTTGCAGATTTTCAGGTGGAAGGGTTGGCACTGAATGGGAGAAATCCAAAACCAATAAATGGCGATACCTAGGAAACAATAAGCAAAAGATCATTCTCCCTCGCAACTAAAATAGAAATTCCATACCTATGTACACCTTCAATCTAGTATTATGTAACAAAAATCATCGACACATATGTGGATTATGTAGTGAAAAACGAGATAAAGAATCAACTAGCCAGAGCAAAAGTAAGTGAAAATGAGTTCAAATTAAGATACTTACTCATTTTTCTCAGATGAAAAGGCTTCTTTTCTAACGCAAGCCCAATCATTCGCCTCACTACTATCATGTTTAAGTGTTTCAATAACCTCTTGGGCAGCATCCCTCAAAAGTTTTTGCAGATCCGGAAGCCTCCATATAAGATAACTTGTTTCAACGTACATGTTAATGAGGTGGTCCAAGGTTGGGATTCCAACTTGTTCTGATCGGAAAAATGCATGCTTAACGATACCCGTCCAAGCCTGGTCCTTCAAAGGTACCTTCTCAACCAACTTCTTTAAAACCGAGGGGTGAAGCATCAAAGCTTGCTTCATAAGATCAGTTGAGCTAGACTTTGTAGTAAATTCATGGGCACCTTCCGATGACTCGTGTTTCTCAAGATTAAAGCGGCAAATGGCAAGGGAATAAGAGAAATTTGGAAACAGCCATAAGGAGTTGTCACTTTGATAATCTTCAGAGAATTGTTCTAGCCATGCATACTCCTCCGCTCTCAACGATAAGTAGTCAATGTAGAACTTCGCCCCCATTGGATCATCCGAATCAAGAGAAAGCAATAACTTGCAAACTTCTAAAGCAGATCGATGGCATCCACGCCTATCCATATTCTTCATGTGAGCGAAGAGTGCCATAAATAGAGGTTTGTTCTTTTCATCGCTGAATTTCAATTGGAAATTACCCTGCAAGGGTGTGAACATAGGATGCCATGCGCATTCCAATGCATATAGACACTTTGAAATAGAATCTGTTGACATTTGGTGCTCACCCGCAAACTTAAAGTAATCCGCCATTGTTATAAGTGAATCTAAGTGATAAGGGTGGTACAACAAAATACTTGCAATACCGTTGAGGTCATGAATAGCTTTGGCAGCTTCAAACTCCCTCTGAGCTTGAGAATGGGATGATGAATGCACATATCTAAATCATGGCACAAAAATAAGTATAGATAAACAAGAGTTTTGGGGGTAGAAAAGACTTGGAAGAAAAAGAAGACGGCGCAACAAAGAAAAAAAAAAGAATGATTTTACCTAAAGTAATGGTACCCATCTTTCACTTCAAGAAATTCCATGGACAAAGAACCATCCCATCGAGGCCAATGTTCTGATGGAGTAACAAGAACAGTCTTTCTAGGATTATAACCTCCACGTCTTACACCACGAGCCTGTCTTGAACTGCCAGTTTGACTACTTTTCTCAAATGATTTTACCACCTTAGAACCAAATATTCTTCGGAGCTCATTTTCAGCATTCAGGAATTTTGGATCCACTTGTAATATTGAGGCTGCAGACTGTTTGACCAGGTTATCACGACGTCTTGAATCTGCCGCTTTGGTTTTTTCAGGAACATCGTGATGACTAGAATTGTTAACGTCTAAAGAAAAAGTTTCCAGAATCTCATCCAAGGACTCCTCAACTTTATGAGTACTTGCCGAGGAACCCTCCTTGTTGTTCTTCTTCTTTTTCTTCTTCTTTGATTTGTTATCAGATGTCAAAATTACGTCTATGGGACCTTTTGGCTCAGGCAAATTTTGTTTGTCTCTACTTCCCTGCAAGGAATCATCGGCAGTTTCTGACTCACCCTCCTGCACCAAAAACGACAATTAAAATCAATTGTATAATAGCACTACTAACCTTGTTATAACCATCAACAGTCTCAACACATGAAACATAGAACCCCAAACATGATACTCAATCTCAGTCGAAATCATTTGAACAATCTTGAATATCAAGCCATCAGAATCCTAGTACAAGGATGTGATCCGTGTAAGAAGGCTAAAGAAGTTTGAGTACGTCCAGTTTACTATTCTTCTCCCTTTTGAGGGCTACCACTTCGGATAAAATAGTTTATGACACCCTTATGCTTCCTAAGTAAATTTCTCGACTCCATATTATTATCAGCACATGAAACTCTTCTGTCAAGAGTTAGGAAATTGGGCCTAACGTATTAAGAGCAGGACAAATCCAAAGTAGTACAAGCATAAGGAGACTCGAGACATCATCTAACATCTAAACGATCTCTTTTTTCCGATACGACGCAAGAACAAGATGAATCTACGCCCTCCCAAAACTCACCCCACCCCACCCCCCATCAAAGTGAATTTGCTTCTTTTGAATATTGACAGCAAAAGGCCTTTGAAGCTTTCATTAGGTTGGAATGACAAAAGGAAACACAATGCTAAAATCCCCAAAAAGATAGTATAATCAACACGACACAACAAGAAATTCATTACAATAATCTTTAATCAATAATCTTATAAAGTATACAAATAACCAAGATAATAGAAATTTAATTCAAGTTCCAGATTGAAGATTTATGTGCAGATAACTGACAGTCTAAAACATCTCAAATACAGAGCTGAAGAATAAAGAAAACCCAAAATTCTCAAATAAAAAAGGTTACGGACCAAATAGCAGATAAGAGGAACGTGTTACACGTAGAAATTAGAATCAAATCCAAATCTTGGTCTTTTTAATATATATATATATACATGTATTAAAAAGAGAGAAAAAAAAAAAAAAGAAACCCATTAACTAGGAACTTCGTAATTACCGGCCAATGTGAAGTACAAAGGAAAAAAAAAATTAGGAACTAACAACAACAATGAACATGGAAAAGGAAATTTTCAAACAAAAAAAAGAATCGAGGTGCGGAGAGGTTGAAACCTGGTCACTGACACGGCCATCATCGTCATCAAGGAGGTCGAAAGGATTGATCGAAGAACCCGAATTGAGCTTCTGGTCCTCCTCGTCCCCGTCCACGTCCTCCTCTTCTTCCTCGGCAATATGTTGAGGGTCCTTTTGCTGAAGCTTTTGCTCTTGCTCTTTGAGAACTTTCTTCAGCAACCGAGCCGACATAGCCACCAAATCCCAAATTGATTGATGAGACGACGATTGATGTTTTAGGAATTCCGATGCAGATGCAATTCGATTCAAGAATGAAACCCTAACGTCAAGAAATGCGGTTTGGGTTCTTTCTAAGCAATAGATTCAAGAACCGTAAGGCGGTGGCGCGGCCAATACTGCCTCTTACTGGCTGCGCTTTCTCCCTGTTGGGCTGCGATTCTCGACGTTTTGGTCTTTCTCTTTCCGTAATTGCCACGTCAGTAGTCTTTTTTTTCCGATTAATTACAAAAATTCCCTGTGTGTGCCCCGCAATTTTTCATTTCACCTAATCTATGAAATAGTAAACAAGAAATCTCCCCGTTTTAGAATTTTTTTTATGTCAAATTGACATGCGGTAAATTGCACTTGTTGCACTCTACTTCATTTTTTACATAATTAGACCTTATACTCTCATTTCTTTTAAGTAAAATATGCCCTAAATTTTAAGATAATGGTATTTGAGATTCAATAGCTATGAACATTATCAAATTAATGATAGTCACGAGATTCGTATATGAAAAGTAAAGATCATCATTTTTCATACCATGTCGCGTGCAAATTTCATATTTTGAATTGTCAATTTGATAACATCATTAGTTATTAGACTTCAATTGTAACTGATTTTAAAGTTTATAGTACATTTTGCCTAATTAAGTGTAGGGTTCATAAAGCAAAATGCGAATAATTTGAGGTGCAATAATGCAATTTACTCACTAAAAACGTTCTTTTTTTTTTTAATAATAATCTCTTATTTCAGTTCCTTGAGACTGTCCAATAAGAGTTATTAAAGTAATTGTTCACAAAATTACTCCATAACCCTCATTCTTTGTGTGACGCATGTACTTTTGTTAAAAATTTTAATGAAAGGACTTTTTTCATAAATATTTCATAAATCACGAGGAATTATATTACATTTTACATATTAAGGACACAGTGTTACAACGAGTATAATTAAGATTTATAATAAATCTTAATTTATTTATTTATTTATTTATTTTGATTAGGGTATGTCTATATATAGAAACTAATAGAATTTGATACAAATCCACAATTCAAAACACAACATTATTAATTAATATTGTTTTTACTCATATCCTAACGTATAAACTTATTATTTTTGTTTCTTTTCTTATTTTATTATATGAAAATCAAATTTTTAACAGAAAGAAGTGATTTTTTTTTTCGTCTTTAGAATGTGTTGCCTCGCCTTATTGGTTGAGCGAGATTTTTTTAATTAATTTGGTTAAATTTTAACGATGTAATCCATGAACAGGAACATTTGTATACTATAGGATGTACTATTTTTGACTTAAAGCCTTATGGTTAAAATTTAATTTAATTATAAAAAAAACGTATCGGTAAAACAGCACAATTTTCTTCCATAAAGAAAAGCACAATTTTCCTTATTTTTTTATATGAAAAAGATTTTAATCTAGAAAAGCAACAAATCGTTTTCGCGTAAATTATCGATGAAATTTATTTGCTAATGATTTGTCGTTTTGTAGTTATAACGACAGCAAACTTATACGACGAACTCCATGTAGCCCTCGCAATAAATGGCACCAAAGGCATGCAGAAAAATAATTGATCGTTTATTTACGAAAATTCAGCACAAAAATTACATATCGTATTAAACCAGACGGTGTCGTTTTCACTAAAAAATATATCATGTTAAAGCGCTCAAAACGATGCGTCTTTTATTGACCCAAACGACAGGGAACTTGATATAATGACAGACAGACAAAAGGACATGTCATTTTTTCATTAACGACAAAGTTTGAGATGGACGCGGCTTCTACTTTGCAGGCACACAAATTGGAATTTTAAAGAGCAAAACAAGTCGTTTTTCTTTTTTTTCTTTTGAGTGAAAGATGAACTTCAATAAAAAAAAAACGATTAAATTTATCTTTTATTTTATACTAAATTAAAAAATTATTTTTATTTTTATTTTTTATTTTTATTACACCAAACGTTATTTTATAAATATTTTTATTTTTTATTTTTATTACACCAACGTTATTTTATAAATATTTTTATTTTTTTTTAAACATAAAAAATAAAAACAGAATCATTTTCCAACAGACCGTGACTTCACAAATCGTCAATAACAAAACATCAGAGGTTCTTGACTATAGAAGGCAACAACAGTCAATCATTGTAAATAATTTATCATTATTGTGGATTGAGTCAATTGCCTAATTCTAAGAATTAGAATAAAGTGTAAATAGCTGTCAACTAGCTACTGATTGTAAGAATTAGCAACCAGCTGTCAATTCTTAATTCCAGGAGATTAGTATTGATTTGCTAAAGATTGACTCCATCACAATTGTATATATTTACTTCTCGGAATTAATGGAAAGCTGCCATTGCTCCACTATTCACAATATTGACGTCGGTCAACAAACAACACCAATTATCTTAACCGCATCCGACTCAACAACCCAATTACTAAAACCATTTTTCATTACAAACTGAACACCTTCTCTAAGTGCTAAGCTTTCTGCCATATGGCGGCTGAATTGGGGTTAAAATTTCCAAATAATTTTAAATAGCTACTGCTACATCAACACTAACCTTCACAAAGCCGGGTTGTGGCTGGTTCCAACGGGGACAAAAATGATATTAACCTTCAAAAAGGCGGTTTTTTTTTTTTTTTTCAAAAGCCGTTTTTGTTGACACATCTGCCATGTTTGGTTACCAATAATATATCATTTAGAGGACGTTTGGTAAAGGAATTTGTACCCTGATTCGAATCATAATTCATGATTCACTACAGTATTTTTTCTCATAAAAAACACACGTAAATAAAAAATAATTCTAATCTATGAACCAAACGTCTCCTTAGTTGTTCTAAATGACAATAAAATTATTGTGATAAATTTCTTGTTGTTTCTTTAGATGAAAATAAGCTCTTTACAAAACATGTCATGTCGTTTCCTTCATGGCCGAAAATTTCTTTGGTATTTCTGATGAAATTTCTGTAATTCTAAGGTCCCAAAATATTTTTGAATGCTAAAGAACTTCTCCGATATTTACCGAAATTTAACGAAAAATTTGAGAGAAAATTCTTTTACACCCAAATGATATTTTGTGACTTTAAAAAAATTCTGAAATTTTGGTGGAAATCTCGAACATATCGGAAAATTTTCACAAACTTTATCAGAATATATCAGTAAAGTTATCAATATTATAGAGGTCCTATTGTATTATTTTTGTACAAATTTATTTATTTATGTATCTTTTTTATATTTAGCGTATTTTAGGATATCAAAAAGAAATATTAAGTATTAAAACAAGTATTCTAAGCTTCCATAATTTTTTTTTTTTGATATTTCCACTGATATCAATAATTTCTCTAAAATTTCTTTAAACTTAAAGCATTAATATTATAGAGGGTGAAATCTACTATTAAATTTGTTAGGAGGCCAATGAATGAATTCAAATTATTAGAGAGTTAATATCGTGATCGCAGAGAAAATAAATAGACAAAAAAAATATAAAGAAAGCGGGACACAAAGATTTAAAGTGGTTACTCTGATAACCCAAAGTACGTCCACTGAAGGAAAAGTGGTGGAAAAGCTCCTAGGAATGCAATGGTGTAGGTGGCGTGTAAGAACGTGTGTGATCATGTGTCTCCCTCCTTCCTTGGACGTGTATTCCTCCATTTATAGGCCTTGATTGCTGAATAAGTGATTTAAGGCAAGTTTCCCATTTGAATTTCAATTGAAGATCATTTTCTTGTAGAGAAATTGCTTAGGAAGCAAGCTTAGGTGAAGATTGATACAATGATGATCTCCCTAAATGTCGGGAGAATGCTATAGAAAATACTGAGAAGTATGTAAAAGTAGTGAAAAAGCTCATAGGAATGCTTGAAAATGGTGTAGGCATGAAAGAACGCGTGTGATCATGTGTCTCCCTCCTTCCTTGGACGTGTATTCCTCCATTTATAAGCCTTGATTGCTGAATAAATGATTTAAGGTAAGTTTCTCATTTGACTTTTAATTGAAGATCCTTTCCTTGTAGAGAAATTACTTAGAGAGCAAGCTTAGGTGAAAATTGACTTTTCCTTTTGCTATTTTGAGGCAATATCCCACGGAATATGGCTGTTGTGATGGTGGAATTGTTTGGGTATCAGACCACTGGACTGAACGTTCAGGCAGCTGACCCTGTTGACGACTAGCAGGTTATTTCTCGCAGCCGATTTCGTGATTTAATCCCATTCTTCAAGAGTGTGTTGACATGTCTATGATGAGAAATGAAATGCGAAATTTCACCTCAACAGATATTTTCATTGATATGGATATTTTCAGGTTTCCTTACAACAATGGAGCAAAAAAGTTTTTTGAAAAACTTCATGTCATTTATTTTATTGAAGTTACAATATTTGTATAACAAACGACATAGCTTTTATCGATTAAAACAAAATAAGGAACTGAAACGACAATGACGAACGGACGCAAGCAGCCAGGCAGACTTGTTGTATTCTACTCTTCTTTATAAACTACATAAATTCTTAAAAGGGACAACTTATTTCTATGAGACTTTATGTCGTTCTATTTTCATGATATGGACATTAAACTTGGGGAACGCCTTGTCGTTTATAAGATAAGCCCCTTGTTGATTTTTGCTACGACAAATACAGCTATTATGACTTAAAACGATATGCCATTTCTGTCATTTCAGACACGTCAAACATTTCAAGATACAATGACAATTCGTTTTTACCATTAAAACGATAGAATATTTGACGAATCAAAACATCGTGTAAGACGGATGCAAAGACATGACGTTCTCTTCATTAATTAATGAAATAAATTGCGAATGATGAACGACACATTGGTTGTTTTAGATGCTATCAATTTCTTTCCTAAAACACCACTGATAAAGTTTTTTAGTGTACACTGTAACTTATCGACGTGTAGATTTTTCAGGAAAAAAAAAATACTCTTATAAACATTACTACATTAGTTAGGTTTTTATGCATTCGCTAGTTCGAATCACAATTCAAGTTTTTATTACTGTATTTTCTCTTATAAAATTCAAACTCTACCTTTTCGTTACAGTATTTTTTCTCATATAAATTCACTTTTTAAATCAAATTCTTAACTCGGACGAGCGAAACGATCTAATTTCCCATAACTACAGAAAATAAATTCTAATCGTGTGTTGTTCGATAGTTCCACGCGGTAGCAAATTCATACAACAAGCACTTGTCGTTTTTGGAAACTAA